GTAAGAGAGTGAGCCATGAAGACATCAGGGGAAGTATATCCCAGACAAAGGAACAGCAAATACAAAGGCTTTGACACAGGAGTGTGCCTGGTGTTCAAGGAACAGGGAGACCTCTTAAGAGCCTGGGGTAGAGAGAACGGAAAGGGCAGTAGGTGATGAAGTCAGAGAAGCAAGGTGGGCCCAATCATGTAGGGTTCTTAAGGCCACCATAAGGACTTTGGCTATTCTGAGTGAGATGGGAGCCATTGGATGGTTTTGAAGGAGTGACAAAATCTGACTTAAGGATTATTCTGAAAACAACTGAAGGAGGGGGACAGAGAAAAAGTGGGGAGACTGAAAAAAAGCAGGGAGACTGGTGAGGAAACTACCATAATAATCATAGTAGGTGCTCAGTACCTAGCTGATCACGAATAGGAAAGCAACTGGCACTGTTAATAGTGGTAGCTAATTACTTACTATGAGCCAGATAACATTCTATATATTAAAATCATCTAATCCTTGGAACTAATATTGCACTGTATGTTGACTAGCTGGAATTTATTATTTTTTTATTAAGGTGTTTTTTTTTGTTTTGTTTTGTTTTTTGACAGAGAGAGACACAGCGAGAGAGAGAACACAGCAGGGGGAGTGGGAGAGGGAGAAGCAGGCTCTCCGCTGAGCAGGGAGCCCGATGCAGGGCTCAATCCCAGGACCCTGGGATCATGACCTGAGCCGAAGGCAGACGCTTAATGACTGAGCCACCCAGGCGCCCCAACTAGCTGGAATTTAAATAAAAACTTGGGGAAAAAAAATCATCTAATCCTCAGAACAACTCTGTGAGCAACTATTATTATTCCCGTTCTGCACGTTAAGAATTGAGGTCCATTGAGATTAATAATTTACCAAAGGTCATACATAGAAGCAGGCAGTTTTGCTCTAGGGCCCACACTTTCAATCAGTATGTTATGCTGTCATAGTAGGAACTCAAAAAATAAACCCCCATGACACATGGTGCTGACCTCTACATATCTAACTGGAAGAACACCCAGATGAAAACTAAAATGAGGATTTTTGGGAAAGCCTTACATAGATGTACTAAAAAACACAAAGACGTGAGACTAGGAAATTTGTAATAGAACTCTGGCTATTATATGGGGAGTATACTCCTTTCTTGGCCTTCTTTGTATATAGGTATTTTGAGGGTTGAGCATTCTTAGAGCCCTGCGAAATGTTATAAAGCAGTATCTGTGAAAGGTGTGCAGTGGGTGGCAGAGCACAGATCACCATGGGGCAGTGAGCTAAGCTCTGTCTCATGGAAGGTGACAACGGAGAGACAAAAGTGGAAGGCATCTGCAGTGAAAGGGAGTTAACTTGCCTGGCCCAAGCACAGCTGATGTCTACCAGTTACCTTCATTGCCATAAAAGCTCTACACTAAAAGCACTAATTCTGGGGCGCCTGGGTGGCTCAGTCAGTTAAGCGTCCAACTCTTGATTTTGGCTCAGGTCATGATCTCAGGGCCTTGAAACAGAGGCCTGCATCAGGCTCTGCGCTGGGCGTGGAGTCTGCTTGAGATTCTCCCTCCCTCTCCCTCTGCCCCTCCCCACCCCAGAAAACACAAAAACAAAGAAAGAAAACAACAACAAAAAGCACAAATTCCTTTGTCTTTCCTAAGAAAGCCCACTTAATGGAAAACTCCTTAATGAGACCAGTGTGACTGTATCATCTTCAGTATATAACATCTGAAAGTGTCAGAAAATGCAACTGGACAAAAGAACAAAATAAGAGGTATAATGGTTGGGAAGAAGATGGGGAAATTATTATATTGTCTTCCTGAAAAAGCAAAGTGAAACAAGTGAACACAGAAAGTAAAAAAGTTCAGTTAAGTAGGCCACTCACAAATAAAAATCAACAACTTTTCATTGGGGAAAAGATAAAGTGAAGAAAAAGATCACTTTTAAATTTTTATTTTATTTGAGAGACAGAGTGCGCATGCACGCGCGCGCGCGCGCGCACACACACGTGCACAGTGGGGAAGGGCAGAGGGAGAGGGAGATAGATATCTCAAGCCGACTGGCACTGAGCTTCGAGCCTGAAGACTGACCCAGGGCTGGATCTTATGACCCCAAGATCACAACCTGAGCTGAAACCAAGAGTCAGACGTTCAACCAACTGCAATACCCAGGAGCCCCAGGATCACTTTTATAATAGCAAAATGACAACAATTTGAGAACAAACTTAGGCTATTTAATGAGTCAGATAAAAAAATAATAATATAAGACATAACGTAAGTCTTCGTTTCCTGATTTAGGGCCCTAAACAGCATTTCCTTTTTTTTTTTTTAAGATTATGTATATATGTATGTATGTATTTAAGAGACAGAGAGAGAGAGAGCACAGGGGGAGGAGCAGAGGGAGAGGGACAAGTGACTTCACTGAGCTCAGAGCTGGAGGCGGGGCTTGATCTCAAGACCCTGAGATCCTGACCTGAACTAAAATCAAGAGTCCAATGCTTAACTGAGTCACCCAGGTGCCCCAGCATTTCCTATTATAAGGAAACATTCCTTGGAGAAAATGGTCATTCTGGTTCTGGGGCAGGATGCGCCCAGGTACCTTGTCCCACCAGAAATCAAGGAACCTACCAAAGACTAGGAGGGTCAGGTCAAAAGGACTGAGAAGGTACCAAGCTAGAAAGAGGCTCTTGCTCGCCAAAAATTGGATAATTTGAACATCAGTAAAATAACTGCCATCGATTAAATCATATCAAATACATAAAAATCCACCATATTATCATGAATCAACACTAACAATGAAATACTCACTGGCTACCTTTGGAGGGAGCTAGGGAACCAATGGTAATTTTGAAAATTTGTACATAAATTAAAGGGAAAGAGGGGCGCCTGGGTGGCTCAGTCAGTTAAGCATCCGACTCTTGATTTCATCTCAGGTCATGATCTCAGGGTCATTAGATCAAACCACGAGTCCAGCTCCTCACTCAGCAGGGAGTCTCCTTGAGGATTCTCTCTCTGCCCCTCACCCTGCTCTCTCTGTCTCTAAAAATAAATAAATAGGGGCGCCTCCCTGGTGGCTCAGTCTGTTAAGCGGCTGCCTTCGGCTTGGGTCATGATCCCAGGGTCCTGGGATCAAGTCCCGCTATCTGGCTCCTTGCTCAGCGGGGAGTCTGTTTCTCCCCTGCCTGCCGTTCCCCCTGCTTGTGCTTGCTCTGTCTCTTTCACTCTCTGTGTGTCAAATAAATAAATAAAATCTTAAAAAAAAAAAGAAATGGAAGAATCAGCACTTATCTGCCTTTTCTGTAGGAATAGTATTCAGGGTACCAAGTGTTAAGACAAGTTTCCTTCTTGGGGCACCTGGGTGGCTCAGTCGTTAAGTGTCTGCCTTCAGCTCAGGTCATGGTCCCAGGGTCCTGGGATCGAGCCCCACATCAGGCTCCCCACTCTGCAAGAGGCCTGCTTCTCCCTCTCCCACTCCCCCTGCTTGTGTTCCCTCTCTCGCTGTCTCTGTCAAATAAATAAAATCTTAAAAAAGTTTCCTTCTTTAGAGGTATTCCAGCTAATGAATGAAAAAGAAATGATAGAGTATCACCATTTTGCAAAAACTCTAATGAAATTATACATGTAGACAGTAATTATCTTTTTCTGCTAACATGAAAAGACAGAGAGAAATGGACATCGTGTACCCTTCTAGATCTGATTATCAATTTACATTCAATACAGGGGGTAGGGGTGCCTGGGTGGCTTAGTTGGTTGGGCGTCTGTCTTCGGCTCGGGTCATGATCCCAGGGTCCTGGGATCAAGCCCCGCATTGGGCTCCCTGCTTGGCGGGGAGTCTGCTTCTCCCTCTCCCTCTGCCTGCCGCTCTCCCTACTTGTGCTCTCTCTGTCAAATAAATAAACAAAATCTTAAAAAAAAAAAATACAGGGGGTAAAAGAGTTTGTTAAATGACAGATGGAGATGCATCAGCAAAATTCAGAATGTGGCAGAACCTACAAAACAAATGGCCTGGCTTCTTCACAAAATAAGTTGCAAGGCAGGAATTCCTCTTCTAGAGGGAAATTTGCCAACATATAATAAAACTACATATAAAGTCAAATTTTAAAACTACATATGCTCTTACCTTTTGGCTCAGCCATCCCATTTCCAGGAATATACCATGAAGATACACCTCCAACAGTACGAAAATACATATACACAAGGTTCCCCACTGTAGCATTGTGTAACTGCAAAATACTGGCAACAGTCTACATGCCCATACATTAAAAGTAAGAAAATGGTTGAATAAACTACGGTGCTCCACACAATGGAGTACGATGCAGTTATGAAACAAAAAGAGTTAAGATTTCTAAGAACTGACGTGATTTCCAGGATATGCCATTAAGGGGAAAAAAAAGCAAAGTGTAAAGAAGTGTCCACGGGATAACATCTTTCATGCTGATACCCTGGTTTTGATCCTTGTTCTACGGTTATGTAAAATGTTACCATTGGGGGAAACAATTATTCTAAGGAATCAGTGAAACTACATGTCTGTCCTTTAAGTGTTAATGTTCCTCAGAATTGCTTCCTAAGCTTTGTCCCAGGGAGATCTTACACATTTCCAGGTGATAGACAAGTAGGCAAAGATTTATACAAGGACATTCATTTTAGAGTTATTTATATATAATAGTGAAAAACTGTAAATAACTAACATGGCCATCTAGAGTCCTGGTTAAATAGATAGTGGCATACCCATACTATGACATCTGATGTAGTCATCAGAAATGTTGTAAGATCTGTACTTACCGAAAAGCATGCACATGTGGAGAAGGAAAAAGCAATTCACAAAACTGAATGATTAAAATTTTGTAAATGAATTTTTGGAAGAGATGCTCACAAAAAAGGTTAGATAGGGAGTGATTGTTAACTTGTTTTTTCTCCTGTTTGGATTTTTACACTCATAATTTAATTCCTCTTAAAATAAAAATTTCAAGCTAATCTCAATTTTAGGAAAAAAGCCACCAAAAACATAAATAGGAAATACTAGTATCTTTATTCTGGCATAAAGCAGTATTTTATACATTAACTCAATTTTACAGAAAAAGCGTTTTATGTACAATTGTAAAGGAACTGCGGCACAGATAGCTCCAATGTAAAAATGGATTGTATTTTCTAAGTTCATTGAGTTTGATACATTGGAAAATATTTTCTCTGTAGAAAATAGTAAAAACCACATTTCTCACGCTAGCCTAAGATGCCCATTAAAATCAAGTAACAGCTGGATTATAGATTTATAAATATGGTGTGGATTCCAGGATCTAGGAGTTCAGCTTCATTTATTGAAACAGCCATGTTTTCTTTGTGTAGAGTGAAATTCCCATTAATCTTCCCCTTACTCCTGATTTCTACCTGATCATTTTTCTATCGGCTAATCCACAACCCACATCAAGGTTTTAACTGCTCCTTCCTACAGGACGGGTACTGCACCCTTCCAATCTGCTTGATAAAGTATCCATCCCTATCCAAGCCGTGAAATAGTTTGGTTGTTATTAAAATATGGCTCAGTACTTGAGCAAAACCGGAATCTAATGAATTATAATCTACACAGCACATGAGCTGTCAGTCATCAACTTCTCCTGAATCCATGTGGCTTGATGGGAAGCCATGAGGAGCGGGAGGAAAAGTGGTAAAATTGACAAATGGATTAAGAAAGAAAAGCCAAGAGAATTTCTGAAAACAGAGAAACATCCAGGACTGAAGGACAGAACTGAAGTCCAAACAGGGTAAGGACACATTGCCTCAAGTGTCAAAGAGTTGAGTTGGCTATCTGAACGCCTTACTGCAGTCACAGAGTTAGATAAAAAGACCCGATCCAGTGAAAGAAACCAGGGCTTAGAAAGATTTCAACTGTTCAAACATAATCAAATGAAAATAAGAAGGGCCATGTATTTTAACTTCTCCTATCAGTTTATTCCCTGAGATTCCCAGTACAGAATTTCTAGGAATTAAGGCAAGAAAACAATGCCATTCTTAAGCTCCTGCACCGTGCAGAAGTTTGGAGGAAATATTTGAGAACTTAGAGTTACCTGGCCAGGGGCTATATTAAATTCTTCAGTTCCCCCTCAAAGCAACAACTTAAAATAACCATACCGAGATTGTCCTAAAAGGAAGTCTAAGCGGCTAAAACCTTTCAATGGAATAGCAGTCTTACAGAAACAGATCCTATACGGTGGCTATAGGAACTAGGCCTCTGAGAAACCACACTGGATCATTCTACCTAGAACCCCAGTTTACCCATTAGAAGTTAATACTCTAGAAACATTAATGACCTGCTGTTTTTACCAGGAAAAGAATGCATCTTGCTTGCATTCACTTGCTCCTCTCTTTGCTCTCAACAGAGACAGGTTTCCTTCTCACAGGTGAAAAACATTTTCAGTGGGTTTCCTGACTCTTGTCAGCAATGCAAATCTCTGCCCCCCACTCCCTTAATTCCTTCTTGGTAAATAATGTTAATCTTCCAGTAGGAAGTGGAGTACAATATCATCAAGCGCCTATTATTATTAGCCTCTTTACTTACAAAGAAAGTTCTGGGGCCATCTTACATATTTGGAATTCCTTAAAGACACTTGCTTGTTATTAAAATACTTTTTACATAGAGATAGATAAAATCTGTGAAGAATTCACTGAAGCATGAATCACCTTACATTAAGAAGTTAAAAATGTATCAAAATGTACATAACCATGGCTAATCTATATGTCTCCCATCAAATGTATCACCATCCTCCAAACCTAGAGCATATGCTGCCATAAAATGCATTACCTCCCAGGTAAGTTTGAAACCTTGCTTCAAAACATGGCTCAGTACTAATTCTCCGAAGACATGTTACAGGACCACATGAGTCACTGTTAGGCAGGTGGCTGAAGAATGCCAATTACAGAGCCAAGCCTGGACTGTGCAGAGCACCTCTCCAGAGACCGTTGCCTTCCCCATAGGTATTCAGGGAAGGACACCATTTAAGTACAGAGCCAGGTCAACGTAAAAAGTATGGGCAAATACATGCTTGATTTTTATCTTACTATCTACAGACAATGTACCAGAATAAAAATATAATGAATTCATACATCTTTTCAAAAGAGAAATCTGAGACATAAGTCCCAATCGTTAAAAGTGATTGTATCAGATGAAATAATTTCCACGAAGCTTGTCTCTCTGGAAGAGATGGGGACAAGGCAAGTAGTCAGGAAGGAAACTCATGTGCTTTCCACCTTGCACGAAAATCAGTGTTCCGTTCCGATTGCTGCATAAATCCTCTACTTCAAATTACTGTCCGAATGCTTTACTGAAACTCCGCTTCTGGCCTTTGTTTTGGGATCTGTTACTTTTGTTGCCACCTCCTGATCGCTGTCCTCTGAAGCCTCGATTTCCTTCCCGCTGTCCCCGGAAGCTTCTGTTGCCTTCCCGCTGTCCCCGGAAGCCTCGACTGCCATCCCGCTGTCCCCGAAAGCCTCGACTGCCATCCCGCTGTCCCCGGAAGCCTCGGTATCCTTCCCGTGGTCCTTCTAGCTCCGGCTGCTCCGTGGCCACCGAGAGCTGCCAGCGCCGTGAATCATGCCATTTTTCCTGCACAGAGATGGTTTTGTTTTTACCTGCTCTGATTTTTATTGAATTCGGTTTTAAAAAGCACGAGAAAGACCTTTTTTTTTTTTTACTTTTTCTCTGAAGAAAAACCTGACTCATAACCTAAGTATTTAAAAGGTCACTGGTTAGAAAAAATACAACCTTCATGCCCCAGAGGCCAGTCATAACAGTGTAAGACTTTCACCATGAGAGGTACCCTCATCACTGTATCATTTATTCAATTCAATTACTACAGGGTATCCACAGCTATCAGGTAGTAAAACTTGCAAATATACCACATACAAACCCATTTCTCATAGTAGTACTGAATGAAGATATAGCAATTTAAAAAATGTCTATGCAAACCCCATACAACATACACAGGGAAAAAAAGCTAGATGTTGTGCACAAGAAAGGAAAGAAGGAAAACAGGCAGGTTGAGTAAGAAAACTATCAGGATAAAAAGGCTAGGGGAAAAAAAAACGGCTAAAAAGTCTAGGAGAAAAAAATGAAAAATTCATTAATTCTAATTGTCTTTTAGAAAAGGGACTAGAGCTGTTGTTTCCCTTTCCATTATTCTGTATTTTCAGTAATGAACACATTTTTAAAAAAAGATTCTTTCTTTCTTTCAAGAAAGAGCATGAGCGGGGAGTGGGGGGAATCCCAAGCAGACTCTTGAGCTGAGTGCACAGCCTGACATGGGGCTCGACCCCACAGCCCCAAGATCATGACCAAAGCCCAATTCAAGAGCCAGATGCTCAACCAACTGAAACACCCAGGCGCCCCAGTAATGAACATTTGATAATTGAAATATGTTAACTTCAAAATCCAAGAGACAAGAATACCTGTATTTCTGTTACTGCTGCAGTAGGGACATCAAAGCAAACACCCTAGAAATCAAAACAAATGCAGGTTAACCCAGCCTTTCACTAGAACTGTATGTGTACATTAAGTGATATTCCAAAAGACCAAGTATTACATTAAAAATCAGAAACAAAGACTCCAGGTATTAATTTTTGAAAAACTTTAGACCAAGACCAATACATCATACCTCCCAAAGGCACAATAGCAAAAACCCAAGGATATTTGGGACTCAAATATCCTGAAAAAAAAAAAAAAAAAGGGGACTCAAAATGATTCAGAACTGATTAGAGATCATTCTTGGCTATCACACTTTGCTAATTCCTCAAGTAGCTATTAGCTACGTTTTAGAGCTAAGGAAACAAAGGTTTGGAGATGCTGACTTGTCGAAGGCCCCCAGCTCATAAGCAGAGCAGGTTTTAAACATCTGGTCAGTGTGGCTCCAAAACCAATGGTCTACATTAAAATATACTGCTTTCCATAAGAAAAAGTGTCTTCAGGATGACCTAACTAAAAGTAGAAAATAAATTATTTTTTTAAAGGGGGGGAGGGGGCAATGGGTGAAGGAGAGGGAGAGAGAATCTTAAGCAGGCTCCACACCCAGCATGGAGCCCAATGCAGGGCTTGATCTCATGACCCTGAGATCATGATTGGAGCTGAAATCAAGAGTCGGACACTTAACTGACTGAGTCACCCAGGCGCCCCAAAATAAATGATCTTCTATTGTCACTTTTCTAGTTTTTCACAATTCATCCTGCTATAAAAAAGTTTTTTAATAATTAAGAGCACCTAATTAGGGTGGCTCAGTTGGTTAAATGTCTGCCTTTGGCTCAGGTCATGAACCTGGGGTCCTGAGATCAAGCCCCACATCGGGCTCCCTGCTTAGCGAGGAATCTGCTTCTCCTTCTCCCTCTGCCCCCCCCATTCATGCTCTCTTGCTCCTCCCCCCCAAAAAAAAATCTTAGAAAAAAAAATTTTTTTAAACACTTTATAGGACAGTAGCAGTGCCATCACCTCCAATAAAGGAGATTCTGTTTCTTGGTCTCCACAAATGTAGTTGAACTACCCCTGCTTCTGATACAGGCACTCCTCTCCCCTGGCTGCCTTTATTTAAAACATTTTATGAGGAACACTTCATTTCCACCCAATTCACGCAATTATAACCACAGGGAACATTAGGTACTGATGGATTTTGCAATTAGTGGGAATCTTCATTCACATTCTTTTTAAGTTTATTTATTTACAATCTCTACATCCAATGTGGGGCTTGAACTCATGATCCCAAGATCAAGAGTCGCTTGCTCTACCAACTGAGCCAGCCACGTGCCCCTTCATTCACATATATTTAACACCAGGCACTCACTGGAATATAATGATAACTAGAATATAGTTTTTGCCCATAAGTACACATCAGAGTGTTCTTGAGGCTCTCAGTCAGTAAGCAAGCACATGTGGTAAGGTAAAATTTAACTGAATAAAGGCATGCCCTAAGAACTCTGAAGTCCAGATAAAAATGCCCCCAACTCTACTGTATAGCCAAGGAAAGCTTCACAGGGAGACTTAAGGCCAAGCCAAGTCATAAAGGTCAACGTGGAAGAAAGAAAGACCATAAACAATGGGTTGAGCATACATTTAGGATGATAGAAAGGCAAGGTGTGCGTGGCACTCCTGGAGTGGAGGGTACTCGCGGCAAAGACGCAGAGATGAAGCTGGTCAGGGGGGCAGAAGCCAGCTCCTGAAGACTCCTATCCTCCATGTGAAAGCTGAGACTTTAACCCATACAGTATGTGTAGTTGCTTAAGGAGATGAACACAGACATGCGGAGAGTTGATGATAAACCTGATCTGATTCACTAGGCCAGTGGTTCACAAAATATAGTCCATGCACCCCTGGGAACCTGAGATCTTTAGGGGAGGTTCCACCAAGTCAAAACTATTTTCATAACAATACTAACATGTTAGGTGTCCTTTCCACTTTCATTCTCTCATAAGCACACAGTGGGGTTTCCCAGACACTGTATTACATGTGATGGTGTCACTGCTCTGATGGCTAATGGAACAACATGCTTAGGTTTTAGAGATCCAGTTTTAATTTCTTATACGATAAACATTAATAGATTTAACCCACATAAACAAAAACTTTTTGGTATCCCCAACACTTAAGAATGTAAAGGGGTCAGGAGACCAAAATGTTTGAGAATTGCTGGGCTTGTGCATACCATTAACTGAGAGCAGGACACGGAAGAAAGAACATCAGGTTTGGAAGGCAAGATTTTAAATTTCAGGTTTGAATTAAAGATTTGGAATTCAATTTTGAATAATTTTCAGTTGCTTAATAACCCCATCTGGGTAGAAATCATCAGGGAAGGAGCTGGATATTCACGTCCGGCACTGCGTGCATAGTTCAGGGTAGAGATACAGATGGGGTAGCTGTCAGTGACTTAGTGGCAAACTGAAGGTCATGGATGACATGCCTGGAGAAGACTATCTAGAGAGCAAAAAGATGCTGCATCCCCACAGAACAGGGAGAAGCCTCCATTCGGTGTTTTATCATCCACATTAAGCAAGGTCACACAGAGGCGTTCCTTACCTGCTTTCCTTTGAGAAAAACCATTCCTTTCACTTTGGAATCAATATCCTCGCTCAGCTGCTCTTTAAGTTCTTTCCAAGCATAACTAATGTTTGGCATTTCAATTGAGCATCGTAAGATCATGGTCACAAAGCCCTTACAAAGAGAACAAAAATTAGTCTCAAAAACAAACCTAAGTGATAAAAATTACCCTCATGTTTCTAAAATATTTCCAGAAAAGTTCTTAGCCTATACCTCCCCTCCACGCCCAACATATACACACAATTTAGTACAAGTAAAACTGGTGGACTCTGAATAAGATGAATGGATTGTGCCAATGTTAGTACCACTGAGCTGTGATATTATAGTTTTGCAAGATGTTACCATGGGGGGAAACAAGACAAAGTATAAAAGGGATCTCTCTGTGTTATCTCTTATAACTACACATAAACCTACAATTATCTCAAAAATTTCATTTAAAAAAAAAGGGAAAAAATACATCTTCCTAAGTTTCTAGGTATACTGGCTAAATGTAGCATATGCATTTATGTGTTTATATGGTTGAGTTTTTTTTTTTAGGATTAAAAATACTGACATACAATTCATATACCATAACATTCACCATTTTGAAGTTTACAGTTCAGGGATTTTTAGTATATTCACAAAGTTTCAACCATCACCACTATCTAAAATTCCGAAACATTTCACTACCCCAAAAAGAAACCACATGCCCACTCACACTCAATGTCATTCTCCCTCAACCAAGACACTGGAAACTACGAATCTACTTTCCATCTTTATGGGATTTGTTTATGTACATCTACCTTCATACAAAAGTTAAAACAATTGAGAAGTCTAACTGAACCCTTTCAAATCCTGTTCACACTCAAAACACCAAGGGTCAGAGTTTGACAGGAAGCCTTACCGCATCTGAGTTGATCAGAGAGCGCTGGTCTACCGATGTGGCTCCTGAAATGTGGGCCAGGGCTGCTGCCAAGGCTTCCACGGCCCCCTTCTCCTCTATCAGTCTCTCCGCTGACTGCTTGAAGTGACTGATGGCAGTGGGAGGTACAGAATCCAAAAGCCTATGGTGTGATTGAGTATATTCGTTAGGAGAAAGCAGAGAAGTGGACAGACTGTGTTTTCAAGGCAATACCATCTCAAGATAAATCAGTAACTTCAAATCTTTCAGATATCTGGGCGCCTGGGTGGCTCAGTTGGTTAAGCGACTGCCTTCGGCTCAGGTCATGATCCTGGGGTCCCGGGATCGAGTCCCGCATCGGGCTCCCTGCTCAGCGGGGAGTCTGCTTCTCCCTCTGACCCTCTTCCCTCTCGTGCTCTCTCTCATTCTCTCTCTCTCTCTCAAATAAATAAATAAAATCTTTAAAAAAAAAAAATCTTTCAGATATCTGACACATCATTTTGATGCAATGTACAGATGGAATCATCACATTTCTGTAGAAATAAATCCATTCCTTTGATTGCGTCTAATTTGACTTTACTATCAAATAAAAAAGTTTCATCCCAAGGAAATAACAGAACAAATATCAAGATGTTCACCACACTGTTATTTATGACATAGAAAGAGTATAAAATGTGCATCGATACGGACTGGTTAAATAAACCATGAAACAGATACAACGGAAGTCCATGCTGCCACTGAAAGTGATGTTAATAAATGTTGAACATTTCTCACAATAAGCATGTGTTACTTTTATTTTTTTATTATTTTTAAAAAGATTTTATTTATTTATTTGACAGAGAGAGACACAGTGAGAGAGGGAACACAAGCAGGGGGAGTGGGAGAGGGAGAAGCAGGCAGCCCAATGTGGGGCTCGATCCCAGGACCCTGTGATCATGACCTGAGCCGAATGTAGACGCTTAACGACTGAGCCACCCAGGCACCCCGCATGTGTTACTTTTAGAATCAGAAAACACTATAGTTATTTCCATTCTGAAATAAAAGGAAAAAAGACTTCCAAATCAGGTTAAAAATGATATGGGCTTTTTATGAGAACACACATTAGTTAGGGAGTCACCATTATCTTGGTGATAATAAATGTCACATCTTCAAAAGAGGTCATCCAGGACAAAAATAAACAAGGCCACATGAGGGAGCCTCTTTTGGAAGGGCTGCCCCTCTACAGGACATCTCTTGGCAACTTGTCTCTTTTCTTCTTCCTGGCCACATAACCCCAAATTTCCTTAACTGGTGTCACAGGGAACCCTGTCTACAGAATAAAGTATGCCATGTGAAAATAAATTTGAAAATTATTGAGTTAAATTATTTTCCTTTGGAGACCTTTCTTGAGCTACTAATATGTTAATATCTAGCATTTCCTCTAATCATAAACTCCCTCATTTCTGTGCCCAGTACAGAGCCCAATGCGGGGCCTGAACTCATGACCCTGAGATCAAGACCTGAGCAGAGATTAAGAGTGGGCTGCTTAATGGACTGAGTCACTCAGGCACCCCTGCCCCTATTTTTTAAGATAAGCATTACACATATTTATAATAATTATGGAGAACAGCCTAAAATGATGCTCAGACTCAGTGGTTCTTAAGCAGGGGATGTAGGTCGCCACTTGGAAATATTTGGAAAATAGTCAGGACTTTCTGGTTTTCCCAATGCCAATCCCCGCCCCCCGCCGCCCCAGAATACCACACAGCCAGAGATGCTAAACAACTATCCTTCAATTTATAGCACAATCCCACAAAATAATTCTCTTGCTCCCAATGCCAGTGACAAACACTGCTAGTTAATCTAATCCTCACCAGCTAGAGGTACCTTAAAAAAATAATCAACCCCCCCAAAAAATAAATAAATAATCAACCCATTCCTACCAGCTGGGGGACGAGATTGATGACGATGTGGAATATAATCTCTGACCCTAAAACCTATCTCCACATGGGAAGCACCCACACCATATCTAAGATATGGTTTCTTAAAATGCCCAAGATAAACCCAACTATTAATAGTGGTTTCCTCTGGTGAACAGGATTAGGTAGGGATGAGTACAAATTAGGATTTTTATTTTGTAAAATTTTACTTCAGCACAGTGCATTTTTATAACAAGGAGGCTGTAAATCATTTAAAATAATAATAAAATTCTGCAGCCATCAAAAGGAATGAGATCTTGCCATTTGCAACGAAGTGGATGGAACTGGAGGGTGTTATGCTGAGCGAAATACGTTAATCAGAGAAAGACATGTATCATGACCTCACTGATATGAGGAATTCTTAATCTCAGGAAACAAACTAAGGGTTGCTGGAGTCGGGGTGGGGTGGCTGGGTGATAGACATTGGGGAGGGTATGTGCTATGGTAAGTGCTGTGAATTGTGCAAGACTGTTGAATCACAGACCTGTACCTCTGAAACAATGCAATATATGTTAAGGAAAAAAAAAAAGACAGCAAGAAGGGAAGAATGAAGGGGGGAAATCAGAGGGGGAGACCAACCATGAGAGACGATGGACTCTGAAAAACAAACTGAGGGTTCTGGGGGGGGTGGGAGGATGGGTTAGCCTGGTGATGGGTATTAAAGAGGGCACGTTCTGCATGGAGCACTGGGTGTTATGCACAAACAATGAATCATGGAACACTACATCAAAAACTAATGATGTAATGTATGGTGATTAACATAACAATAAAAAATTTAAAAAATAATAAATAAAATTCAAAAGACCAAATCTCATTACTGCACAAAGTCAGGCAATAAATGGAACAGCAGTGGTGGGAAACATACCTGATGGCATCTTTGCTGGAAGCTTTTATTATCTCTGTTGCAGAAGGAACCCCTATTCGCTTAAATTTAATTCCCTACAAGAAAATGAGCCATAGTTTAATGTACCACCTGGCCATCACCTGTTTTCACGGAGATTAAATCCCCTAATTTTTTTATATTACCAAACATATTTATAACACATTTAAAAGATAAACTTAAAAAAAAGAATTTTTTATCTCAGAATGGTTTTAGATTTATAGAAAAGTTGCAAAGATACTACAGAGTTCCTGGGGCGCCTGGGTGGCTCAGTCGTTAAGCTTCTGCCTTTGGCTCAGGTCATGATCCCAGGGTCCTGGGATTGAGCCCCGCATCAGCCCCACCTCGGGCTCCCTGCTCAGCGGGAGGCCTGCTTCTCCCTCTCCCACTCCCCCTGCTTGTGTTCCCTCTCTGTGTCTTTGTCAAATAAATAAAATCTTTAAAAAAAAAAAGATACTACAGAGTTCCTGCACACTGTGTACTAAGCTTCCCTATTATGACCACTACAGTACATCCGTCATAGCTAAGAAACCAACACTGCCACATTACTATTAACTGAATTCTAGAGTTCATTCGAATTTCACTAGTTTTTCTATTAATGTCCTTTTTCTGTTCCAGTGACACCACAACATTCAGTTATCATGTGTGCTTGGTCTCCTCTGATCTGTGGCAGTTTGTGTCTTTTCTTGTTTTTCATGACCTTGACAGTTTTAAGAGTGCTGGTCTTAAGGACTGCTGGTCAGGTATTTTGTAAAATGTTGTCCCTCGCTGTGAGGCTGTCTTGGGTTTTTGGCATGCTTAGACTGAGATTATGGGTTTGGGGGAAGAAAGCCAGAGGCAAATCCTGTCTCATCACATCATTCTCAAGGCATACGCTAATCCCTGATGTCAACCACAAGCACCCTGCCAGGCAGCGCTTGCCTGCTTTCTGCATGGTAAAGTGCCCCCCATCCTTCTCCTTCGGCAAGTCACCAAGTACAGTCAGTTCACAGGGAAGAGGAGAGATTAATCTGTCAGAAAAATCAGTCTCCTCTCTCCCTCTTAAATGTATCCTTTTGGGTTTTTTTGTTTTGTTTTGTTTTAAAGATTTATTCACTTATTTGACGGCGGCGGGGGGGGGGGGGGGGGGGGGGGGGAGGGAGGAGCAAGAGGGAAAGAGAATCCTGAAGCAGACCCCCTGCTGAGCCCAACAGGGGCCTTGATCCCAGGACCCAGAGATCATGACCTGAGCAGAAATCCCGAGTCAGGGCCTTAACCAACCAAGCCACCCAAGCACCCCTATCCTTCTGGTTTTTAAGCAATTCCTACAACCCCCTAACCTAGGTTTAAAATATCTTGGGTGTGTTCATGTTATTGTCTGAAAACTGCTATTCAAACACAGAAATAGCCCACATAATTGTAAATATGGGAAAACAAAACCACCGCTTTCAAATGTAAACATTTCAAAATGGGCTTTATATTGTAGGACAATGTGTAAAACATGTATCTAATAAACTTTGTTATGGCCACATGCTAGAAATAAATACAATTTAAAGTTAATACAAACTGAACTAAAAAAACAAAGATTGACTTTAGAATTCATTTCAACCTTTGCTGAGTGGAAGGCTAAGAAAAGAGTTTTACCGCTTTTTGCTCCACTTGTGCTAACTGATATTCTTCCTTGTGCTGATAAAAGCAGATGCAAATCCCCGTCCTTCCAGCTCTACCCGTCCTCCCAGAACGATGAATGTAGGACTCCACATCCTATTGAAGTAAAATACATGAGTGACACTGAACAAAAAGAGACAAAGACCTGAGTGGTCTATGCAGAGGGAAGTGTGGTGCTTGTATTACATACCCAGAGTGTGAGGTTCCCCAGCATTTCTAAAATAAAGAACTGTCAAAATTTTTAAAAATCTCTAGAATAGTGGTCCCTATCCTATGGGCAAATGTGCAAAAAGCATCATCTAAATAGTGCTGTGCTACAGAACCACATGTGTAATTTCAGTCTTCAATTTTCTAGTAACCCGCTAAAAGGTTAAATTATTGATATATTTTATTTAACTCAATATATCTAAAAGTTGTATCACTTCAATATGCTATCTATAGGAAACAGCTTATCACTGAGATATTTTACATTTTTTGTAAGTCTTCCAAAATCCAGTGTACATAATAGAAAGTTTAAAATATAAAAAAAAAAAAAAATCCAAGGTGTACTTTATACTTTGAGCACACATGTCAACTCCGACTATTCCCAGTGCCCGACAGCTACATGTGTCTGTGGCCATCATACTGGACAGGCTCCTTGAAACAGCATCCATGTCATCACACATCAATCAGACTGCCTTTGTAACAACTGGAGCCTCCACAGTAGTCAGGTAGTTTTTTCTATCATTGTAAACAACCTTTTAATCCTGAGGGATGGGGTCCTCACACTGGAAGTGATGGGAACAGAATAGGCTCCTTCTCCAACGTTTATTTACATGAAACACCATGCACACATCACCTCTGCTTCAGGGCCCTCCCTCAGAGGTCCCATCACCCACAAAGCCAGGGAGTGTTAACCACAGCAACTATTAACTACAGGCAGTTTTTCCCCTTCTCCATCCTCTAGCTCATGAGTTTATCCTACCCCCACCCTGCCTAAGTCCCACCCATCTTCAAAGTCTACTTCACAACTACACTACCTGCATGAGCCTACCAAACTCCCTCCAACCAGAAACCATCCTTCCAACCTGTGGCCACTGACCACGCTTCCATTCAACAGTCAGATCTGAGGGAAGGACCTCAAAAGAGATTTGTTCTTAAAATTGCCCATAGCATCCTAGGACTCCAGAAATAGCTATTACTAACCACATGAAAGTAAGCAATACAACTTCCCATTTTTTTAGTACCCAAAAGAAATAAAATAAAACTACAGCACAGAACACTTACCTTTGGTGGCGAACTCTGTACAACCAGATCAACCTCAGGGATGTCTAACCCACGAGCAGCAACATTGGTTGCAACCAAAACTCCAAAATCACCATTTCTAAAACCTTTCAGAGTGATTTCTCTCTGCTTCTGAGGAATATCTCCATGTAATGACTGGGCATCCTACCAAAGAAATAAACTGGCCTAAGAATACCAGATGCAACAATACAGGTACTTTTAACATCACACATTAGGCCTATAAAGATATTTGTATTCTGGCAATACTTCCACTGAAAATAAAGCAAAGGGAAAAACATGTGCCTTACATGGACAAACCTCAAATTTTTCCCCACTCCTTGGTCATTAAATCAATGTCCAGCTATACTTACTAGGTGAAGAACACCAGGCAAGAGTGATCAAACCCACTTTGCCAGTGTAGCCTTGGGTTTGAGCCACCCTTTCCTCACCTGTGAGAGAACTGACAGATCAGGTGAGCTCTAACATGTAAACGGGGTCTATCAGTTGAAAGAGGCTTCCTCCCTAAAGGAAAGAGAGAGAAGGACCAACCTGCTTTATGGACACATTCTGTGACAACTCCTGGGCTTCTTTCTTGGTTTCGCAGAAGATGATAGTGCGCCCATGAAAACCACTATATACTCGTATCACATCCCCAATAACTGCTGCCCTTTGAGTCCAGTGGCACTTGATAGCCAGATGCTTATGAGAGGGAAAAAAGATCTATTCAGTATAGCTTACCTGAAACCTGAAATCATCTGCTCAAAGCTACTGGTGCTAGAAGCAATTGTTTAAGCCTAACTAGAGCAGACTACTGCCACCACTGTGTGAAAGGAAAAAAAGAAAAAAGAAACAAACAAAAAACCCCACCTAAACCATTAAAGCAAAGAGCCATCTCTTTCTCTCTCTCTCTCTCTCTAAACTAAATAAATAAGTCTTTTTTTTTTTTTTTTAAAGTGGGGATAGGGCACTTTTAAGCATCCAACTCTTGGTTTTGGCTCAGGTTATGATCTCAGGGTTGTGAGATCGAGCTCTGCATTGGGCTCAGCCCGCAGCATGGATTCTGCTTAAGATTCTCTCTCCCTCTCCCCCCTGCCACACACATTCTCTCTCTAAAATAAACAAGTAAATCTTTAAAAAAGAGAAAGAAAGAAAGAAAAGAAAAAGCAAAGAGCTGTTCCCCTTTCTCTGGTTCCTCTATTTTCTTTCTTTCTTTTTTCAAGTAGGCTCCATGCCTAGGACAGAGCCCAACACAGGACCTGAATGTTTTGTCCTTTCATCCACTTAAAAATGCGATTAGCCAGTTAGTCTGCAGGTCTGTTCCTTGGGTGAAAGGAATTCTGTGCTCTGGACCCTAAAATGAAAATGGCTTCAACACAAAAGTACTAGATTTCTCTGCTGCCCTCAGAGTGTTTAAATTCTAGGTGTAATTTCTTTCTACTTACATAATTCAAACAGATAGAGATTCCAAAAGATTTTGAAATCAGACTACCAGAAATGAAATTTAGAAAACACAGATACCACATACAACTCAAAGAGAAATAGATCTTTACTTGGCTCTTCACATGGATTTAGTATTTATCTGGAAAAACAGTGTATATTTGCCAGTCTTAATACCATTAGACACAGGGAAAACATGACACCATTTATTACTAATTCTAGCAGCTGAATGAATCACTTACCTCCACGGTTATTGCCGTTTTCTGGGTCTTTTTACCAATCAGGTCCACCTGTTCATATGTAGATTTCATGTATTTCTTAGCAACATTATATACCCAATGAGGGCAAGTTGCAGAAAAAAGCAACGTTTGGGGATTGTCTTCTGAATCTTTGGGGAGAAAAAAGTCAGTATGAATAACTCCAATAAGCCTACACAGTATTCTATCTCACCCAGTTCTTCCAGAGTCCATCAAGATGCTACAGCGACCATGTGAGGCCGAGCCAGGCACTGATGGCACAAAAATGAAAGACACAGAGATACCTAGTGGGCAAAGAAATACTAAGTCATTTATGTGAAGGAGACTTGAAACACCGAAAGTACTTTGAAGTTATTTTACTTTCTGACCACTGGCATTTATGAACCATGAGGGAAATCTGCCCATTGTGAGACGTAACTGGAAAACACCTGTTCATCAAGCCTAGTAACCGTACAGTTTAGATCACTAAGCAAATAACCTACAATAAACACCAGAACAGATCCTATATTCACCTATACTCTCTGGCATATCCTCAGTCTTTTGAGTTTTGAATTCCAGTCTATTCATTCTTTGAGGTCAGGTATTAAAAAGCTCCCCAACCCCCATCTTCTTCTTTTTCTTAAGTTTGCTCTTTGAATAACACTTCAATTTCATATATTTCAAATGGTGGTTTAAGTAGATAGAACCCTTTTGGAGAGCAAAACTAACAATGTACATTGAGAAGCATGAACTATTTATACCTTTAAACTCAGTAATTTTATTACTGGACATCCATCCTAAAGCACAAATTCCAAATACTGAGATGTGAAGGAAGCTATCTGCATAAAAACGTCTCTATGCAGAATTATTTATATTATCTAAAAATTGAAATATATACATGTAATTAAATCATGGCACAACCTCTTCACGGAGTGTTATGCCAAATTTTTATATGCATAAGATTAAAATTAACACATATGTACATATGCACAATAGTACAAAGTCAGGAAGAAAGAGACCAAAAGCAAAGCACATCAAGCTGGCAGAATACGGTATTTTTCTTCTCTTACTTTCCCAAATTGTCCCCATTATAGTTATGTGATAAATCGTGATTTTTAAAAAATATTTTATTTATTTATTTGACAGAGAGAGAGAGAGCACAAGCAGGGGAAGTGGCAGGCAGAGAGAGAAGCAGGCTTCCCGCTGAGCAGGGAGCCCGATGTGGGGCTCGATCCCAGGACCCTGGGATCATGACCTGAGCCGAAGGCAGCTGCTTAACTGACTGAGCCACTCAGGCGCCCCATAAATCATGATTTTTTAAAAAATTTAATTTTTCCTAAAAAAAAAAAAAAATTTAATTTTTCCTAAATAAAATAAGTCACCCCCCAATTTAAGGTTTCATTTAACATTCAGAAGACTGCTTAATCACCACCCTTCCTCTAAGCCCTTCCAGCAGCTCCTCGAATTTGGAGCTTACCTTTCTTGTATGCCACACTTAAAATCTCTTCCACTTGATCAGCAAACCCCATATCCAGCATCTGGTCAACTTCATCCAAGACAACATGCCTAAGTTTGGTGAGATCTAGCTTGCCATTCTGCAGGTGGTCTTTGATACGACCTGGGGTCCCAACCAGGATATCAATCCCATTCCGCATGCGTTCAACTATAAAGAACATCAGTGATAAAATATGCTGGGTTTTTAAATCCTTTTATTAGTCCGGGGTACCAATTAAATACATTTTTATTCTAAAATACTTACTAACGAAAAACACAAGGTAATATGCTAAGTATCAAAGATACTTAGGGGGAATTCAAGATACTCTAGGGATAAGCGGTAAGAAGTGACAGTCTAGGGTACTATGTGACGTAGAAGAAAAACGTGTCAGTGCGGGATGGAAGCACCAGGAGAGAAATTACTTCCCTCGTGGTAGAAAGTGTCAAGGTTTCACAGACAAAGTGAGAACAAGAATCTTAGAGAAGAACTTTATATAAGGTAAGCAGGTATGGAGAGAATGAGACTGGGTAGAAGGGTAAGTATTTCGAGAAGGTCCAGAGACGTTCAGGAAAACAGTCCAGTATAATGAGGTGAGACTGATAATGATGCAGCTTTTTACTGAACTGCACTTGCAATCTGGGGGGGGGGGGTCACACTGGGCACTCTACATACATCAGCCAATTCAATCCTCACGATACCCCTGCAGGATGAGTTTTAGTAACCTTGTTTTTTCACGTGAGCAAATGAAAGTGCAAAAAAACCAAGCACCTTGAACTTAAAATCACACTGTGAGCAGAGTCTAGATTTCAAACATACATTTCTCTGATGCCAAAGCCCAGTTCATTTAACCAAAGCTGAGAAGAAATAATCACAAGCCCTGCATGCCAATTGCAACATTTTTAATGCCTTAAAGCCTTTCCTGAATTATTTATCTGCTCTACATAATAAAGTTTCAAGGTCTTGAACTGGTAGGTAATGGAATCCTATAATAGGAGCCTACACCATTTGGCCCTTGGGCCCAGAGGAAAGAAGGCCCACCTGCAGCAAGAAAGAAATAAAAGACCCCAAAAGAGGCAGATTCACTGTCCTTGACAGATAAAAAGAGTAAATCTGATTCATGACTTTCTAGTGCCAAGGGCCCAAGTGGACTCTATCCTCTTAGGCTCAGTAAGAGATCTGTATAGCCTTTAGATAAACATAAGTAAGTAATACAAAAATCCAAGTAATTATATACAGGATTTGACATATCATCATGTAGGACCATGTTCTTGACCACCTTTAAACAATGACAAACGAAGACCACTAAAATGACTAAACTAGGTAAAGCCAGATGTCGAGGTCAAAGAAATCCAACCAGGACACCCAACAGCGGTTGGCTTTGGATTTACTTACTCTGACCTCCATAGGGAGTCCCACCATAAAAACAAGCCACTGCCAGCTTTCTTGTGATGTCACTGAAGTCTCTGCTTACTTGATTTGCCAACTCCCTCGTGGGTGCAAGAACCAGCACCTGAAAAGGAAAAACTCATCATTGAATTAAAGTACTACACAGCATTTGTTTCTTTTTTTTTTTTTGGTGAGGAACTGAAGAAGGAATTTGTTTATTGAGGATAAGGGTGCAAGCAATATAAAAATCAAAAGCTTATCTGACTTTTCTTTCTCTGCTTCTCAAATGGGGGTTGGATTTTATTTGTACATTTTCTGAGGGTCCCGATCTGCTCATGGAATCCTTTATACAGGTGGAAGCTGTGGGACAGATTCCTAGAGATCCTTCAGGAGAACTCTCATTGGGCGGGCGGGAGTGTTGCTCATGTTGCCTACTTCTTTCCCTTCTGCTTCATGTGTATTACAAAATAGTCATTGCATGCGATGGTGAGCCCAGCAATTAGCGAGAAGAAGCTCTGGAAGCCCACTTTGCCGTCTCGGCACTGGTCCAGGTCCTTCATTATTTTGTCCACAGCCAGAGGGTCTTTTTGATTTTCCAAAAATCCAGGGAACTCCTTTTCCATGAGTACTCTCAGGTCCTCCTTTGTTAAGTAGCTTTTATACCCAGCAAACTTGTGAAACGTGAACATCATGGTTTCCATGGCGTGTTCCATTTGAGATGGCATTTTGGTGAGGTCTGTTGAAACCTTGGCCCGAGGTGCGGCTGGGACGATTTGCTGGCTGGGACGCACGGCCAGTTACAGCATTTGTTTCTTAACAAATTTGGAATTCACCAGAAGGCTCAACTCATCCTACCAAGTATTTTCAAAACATCTGTTATATGCTTTACAACATACTTTTGTGTGGGGAAGGATCATAAATGTAATACAGTCCCTGACAAATTGACTCAGAAGAAAAGTTTACGATCCTACCAATCAGAAGGGACGTAAAGTCCAAACATGAGGTGCTCCAGGAGGGTTGCACGGAGCGGGCCAGAGAAACTGGGGAATTTCCTGGAGCTGCTACCACTTAAATAGCATTCCAGGAAAGCAACAACTTGAGCAAGGAGTAACACTGCTGATGATAACATTAGCTAATCTTTGTGCTTTTACTGTCTTAGGCTCTACTAAATGCTCACTATGCATTATTCTGATTTAATTCTCCCCAGTTATTGGCCCACCTGCAATTGTATTGTACAATTGTACCTACAATAAACACACAAAAGATTTTGAGCCAAAAGGCTAAGAAGCAAAGCCTGGATTTAAATTTAGACAGTTGGGTTCCAAAACCAACAGACTGAACCTCTACACTACAGTAAATTGAATGTAGAACAAAGACAAGGCAGGACGAACACATGGTGAGGGGCTTTGAATCCCAGAGCAGTCTGAGTTTGACCCAACAGGACATACAACATGAAACTACCACAGATTCTTAAGTAGGGTAACAGCATGAAACAAGTATGATTTCAGAATATTCACTGATTCATCAGAAAATTCATCCAACAGATATTTACTGAATATCCACTATGTGTCAAGCCGGAATAATTCTAAGTGCTGGAATAATTCATTTGTTTGATGCTGCATTTGTTTAGAGCAATAAACAATGAATGAATGAGTGGTGAGTATGGATACTGGCAGGCCAGTAAACAAGTGAGGTGGGGCCAGAAAGTCAGGTGCAAGAAGTCATAACCATGATGACAACATAGGCATATCAGTGAGATTAAGGTTTGTCAAATGCCAGGTTCTCCAGAAATGAACCCAATGAGCACCATCTTGACAAGAAAGCTTGGCCCCTTCACCTCTTTGAGTACCCCTCCTTCTACTCATGCCTCTCTACTAAAACTGCTTTCTCCATCTAGGTAAAAATGGTCAAAGACACTTGATCAAACCTGTAAGCCCCAGGTACATCAAAATAGTTGAAGGGAACATAATGAGCATGAATAATACAGGTGATCACAACCATGTGGCAGATTATAATATTTAAATATATAGGGTTTGTGGCCAACAATCTTAAAAGAATAATCCTGCTTTAGCTTCAAATAAAAATCTATAATAGATTAAAAAAAAAAAAAAGGCTTTAAGGAGAACCCAGTAAAAAACTATAATATATGATGTTAAGCAAAGCGTAAAAGATTTTTTCTCCTGTGCAGATATGGAGCCCCTGAGTTCTGGGTTAAAGATAGTTACCTGAGGGGCACGGCCTCTTTTCCGGTCTTGCAGTTCTCCCTGAAGTTTCTCAGTCAAAGGGATGGCAAAGGAGAATGTCTTCCCAGTTCCTGTCCGCGCCTGTGCAATTAAGTCCTTTCCACTATAGACGTGGTGAAACGTCTTTGCTTGTATAGGAAACAAGAAGGTCACCCCACGGGCTGTGAACAAATTAACCACGTTATCTGACACTGCAGTTCTTAAAATACCAGCCATGCTTCTGGTCCTGCAGAATTAAGGAATTCTACCTTCTGCTTAGTATCTACAAAGTCAGGTTCCAATGTATTCTGGTAATGAAGAATCTGCTGGACTGAAGAATATCAACAAACTTTAAAGCACCAAATTATAGTAAATATTATTTTGAGAGTTTAGTCACTTGTCATGAAATCTCATCTGTAGGTCAAGAGAAGCCCCCGAATCAGGTGCTTTGCAGTCCAGACTATGCCACACCTGATTTAGAAAACACCTATTCAAGCTTCTGTGACTACCTGATTCATTCACAGACACACTGCCAGGCTGAGTGCTGAGGAAGGCTGGTATCATTGAGAGATGTCTCATGAAGTGGGAGAGGATAAAAAGAAAATATGAACATGGCATGAACCATTTATTTGCACCAGTGCAATCAGTCCTCACAGTTCTGAATACACATACTGATTTGAATGAAATTGAATCACCTATTTAAGAGGCAGTAAAGCGGGGCACCTGGGTGGCTCAGTTGGTTAAGTGTCTGCCTTTGGCTCAGGTCATGATCCCAGGGTCCTGGGACCGAGCCCTGCATCATTACATCATCGGGTTCCCTGCTCAGCAGGGAGTCTACTTGTCCCTCTCCCTCTGCCCCTCCCCCTCCACTTATGCTCTATCTCTCGCTTTCTCTCTCAAATAAAATCTTCAAGAAAAAGGGGCAGCAAAGCCATCATTAGTACAGTCCTATACTGTATATATAGATCTACTTTATTATATGATCGCATATATTGTCCTTTATCTCAACAAAAACAGTGGAGTGCTTCCAAATAAATATTCTAACATTATATAATATTTCCAAAAATATTACCTTTGAGAAGTTTAATAGTCTGTTCAGATATGGGAAAATTAGAGAAATCTCCTTCTTTTTGTTCCACAGGTATTTCCTATCAAGTAAAGGGCCACAGAAAGAAATCAGTAACTTCACCCCTACAGGTAATTTTTTTTTTTTAAAGATTTTATTTATTTATTTGAGAGAGAGAGGAGAGATAGCACAGAGGGAAGAGGGTCAGAGGGAGAAGCAGACTCCCCGCCAAGCAGGGAGCCCGATGCGGGACTCGATCCCAGGACTCCAGGATCATGACCTGAGCCGAAGGCAGTCGCCCAACCAACTGAGCCACCCAGGCGCCCCTTACAGGTAATTATTGAGAAGCCTTCTGAGAAAGAAACAAAAGAACCAATTCTAAAACAGCTCTTGTAAATCAACCAAAAAGGCACAGAAACTCTGGTAGGTAAATCAAGATCCAAAAAGGAAATACATCATAATCATCTATAAAACCCTAAGAAAAGAAAATCTGTAGCAAATATATACTGTACAGATTCTATGCATGGCTAGTTAAGGCTGATTCAGTCTCGACCAAGAACTATTCCATTGCCGGGCGCCTGGGTGGCTCAGTTGGTTAAGCGACTGCCTTCGGCTCAGGTCATGATCCAGGAGTCCCTGGATCGAGTCCCGCATCGGGCTCCCTGCTCGGCAGAGAGTCTGCTTCTCCCTCTGACCCTCCCCCCTCTCAGTGTGCGCTCTCTCTCTCTCTCTCTCTCTCTCATTCTCTCTGTCTCAAATAAATAAATAAATAAAAATCTTTAAAAAAAAAAAAAAACTATTCCATTGTCATCCCATACCCACAATATACAGTAGTCCCCCCTTCTCCACAGGGGATTTGTTCTAAGACCTCCAGTGGATACCTGAAACTGTTGACAGTATGGAACCTGTATATATACTATGATTTTTCCTATACATATCCATAATAAGTTTCTAAATCAGGCACAGTAAGAGACTAACAACAATAATAGAACAATTATAACAATATACCATAATAAAAATTATATGAATGTGGTCTCTCTCTCAAAATATCTTCCTGTACTGCATTCACCCTTCTTGGGATGATGTGAGCTGATAAAATACCTAAGTGATGAGATGAAGGGAGGTGAATGACACAGGCATTGTGATGTAGCCGCAGGCTACTATTAACCTTTGACAATGTGTCAGGAAGAGAATCACCTGCTCCTGAAGACAGTTGACAGGGAGTAACTAAAACCCTGGAAAGAGGGCGCCTGGGTGGCTCAGTCGGTTGAGCGTCCAACTCTTGATTTCAGCTCAGGTCATGATCTCAGGGTTGTGAGATTGAGCCCTGTCTCCGTGCTCAGCAGAGTTGGCCTGAGAGTCTCTGTCTCCCTCTGCGCCCGCCCCCCCCACCACCACCCAGCTCACACTCTCTGTATCTCTAAAATAAATAAATAAAATCTTAAAAAAAAAATAAAAAAAGAAAGAAAGGAAGAAAGTGAAACCCTGGAAAGCAAGATGTCAGATCAAGGGGCACTACTGTACTACTGTGTTAAACAAGTCATTAACCCTTTTCCACAGCCACATCTTTCACATACATCCAAAGAAAATAAGGAACAAGCATTTATGACAAAGTGGTCACAGTGGCATTATTTGAAAGTAAAAAACCTAAATGCCCAATTAAGTGATTTCTAAATATTTATATGGTGGATTATGGAAGCATTAAAAATATTTAAGATTTTTTTTTAAGATTTTTATTTATTTGACAGAGAGAGAGAGAGAGAGAGAGAGCAAGCGAGAGGGGAACACAAGCAGGGGGAGTGGGAGAGGGAGAAGCAGGTTCCCTGTCAAGCAGGGAGCCCGATGCGGGGCTCGAACCCAGGACCCTGGGATCATGACCTGAGCCGAAGGCAGATGCTTAATGACTGAGCCACCCAGGCACCCCCAAGATATTTAATATTTAAAAAGTTGGGTAAAGGGGTGCTTGGCTGGCTCAGTCAGTTAAGCATCCAACTCTTGGTTTTGGTTCAGGTCATGATCTCAGGGTCCTGGGATCGAGGCCCACATCAGGCTGTGCACTCAGCATGGAGTCCGCTTGAGATTCTCTCTCTCCATCTCCTCAGGCTCCTCCCCACCGCTAGAGCACACTCGCTCTCCCTCCCTCTAAAAATAAAAATAAATAAATAAAATCTTAAAAAAAAAAAAAGAGATGCGATCAAGAGTTGCATGCTCTACTGACTGAGCCAGCCAGGTGCCCCCTCCCACTTTTAAATAATACCAGTAGCAATTACCTACTTATTTATCTGAAACAACAGTGAAAGATACAGTCTATATATTAAAATACAACCCTACCTGCTCTAACTCGCTGTTACTTTCTTCCCCAAGGGTTTCACTGGAGTTAGAGACAGGTCCAGAATGAGGGAATCCATTCTTCAGTCTGGGGCTTTTCTCTCCAATTTCTCCATTCACTTCCTTTTCTTTCTTCATCTTCTTGGGCTTAGGAGCATCTACTTCTTCTTCAGAAGTTTCTTCACTTTTTATTACCTTTTTGGTTTTAGGAGAAACAACTTTCTTTTCAATGGACTCCTTTGGTTTTTTCACACTTTTGGTTTTAGGAGAAATAATGTCATCCTGAGATGGCTCCTCTTTCGTTTTCGCCTTTCTGGATTTAGGAGAATTCATGTCAACCTCATTAGACTCGGCTTTCTTTTTGACTTTTTTAGCTTTGGGGGAAATAATTGCTTCCTTTACTTCTGTTGCCTCTTCAGCTTTATTAGATTTTGGCTTCTCTTTTCTACTTTTCTAAAAAATTAATAAAGAAAATACAAACTACTGAGCAAAGCACGTATACATTTGAGCAATACATCAATTCTGGATTATTTCAAGATCACATAATTATGAAGAACACAATTTGGGGGCATTTTTCAACATTTGTACTTTCACCTTGTAATAAGTCAAAAACACTATGCTTTTTAGTACCGTTTCTTAGCTATATGGAAATAAGTACAGTGTATATCAATGATTCCATCAGCTTAGAAGAGACTGCCTCTTGGTATCTATTCAATTCGTGTTGGTTGAATATGTTGTCAAGCTTTCACCCGGGATTTGGAATGGCTCATGGGATGCTCCAAAAGGCTCTAAATTAAATATGTAGGACAATAGAAAGTGATCAAGTACAGCTTAATTTACTTCTAATAGAGTATTAAGGCCATATATGTCCATAGATGGACAATGTTAAACAGATTTCTTTCTCTGCTAGAATGCCTGTACAGGCGAAACAGGGATTCATAATACCTGTCTTGGCTACCTGACAAGTGCAAATGAATTTACAGAGACATTTTATGAACCAAAAATCTATAAAACCCCACAATCTATCTCCCCATGTGTAAAAAAGATGTATCTAATTTAATGGGGGAGGAGAGAAGCACCATTACAAGGAAATGAAATGGGTGAAACCTCCAAGACAAACCTCCAAACCAAACCAAACCAAACCCACAACTATGGCTCCTACCTGAAATGTCTGACCTCTTCCAACTTTTCATATTACTTACATGAAGTAAGTACTTAATATTACTGAAACCAAGTAGACAGGTGCTGTACCTCTGTTAAAACCTCTCTGAAAGGCCAATCCCAGAAGTATGGAGACTATTACATTTAGCTGAAATGTGCCTCCCTAAAACTTCAGGCCCCTCCTCTGCTCTCAAATCATGAATGAGGGTAATCTTTCCCACAATGATCATCTTTCAGACATCTGAAAAATAATCTGGTCTCCCCACAAGACTTCAGTTCTTTCATCCATAACCAGTGGTCTCTCTGAAATGTAATGGGGTTTGGCCAAGTCCCTCTTCACCTGAGCATCCCACAACTGAATACCTTCACTGATGCGGAGCAGGTAAACCAGGACCACTTCCTCCCCACCTGTGGGGACAAGTCTGTGCTCCCCCGGCTTCCTACAACGCCAAAATATTGCTGTTGTAAAAGCTCCCCAATAAAAAGACCCATACACACCGAAGGAAAGGAAATTCTAAGTCATTCACAATAGGAATTCAGGGACAATCTTTGTTCTCACTGACTGACCTTATCTCAGATCAGAGAATCGGTCACAAGTTAAATCACTAAGGAAGTAACAGTATAGAGGCAGACAGCGATCAAGGTAACTTAAGACCACTACACACTGCCGACCTCTATCAAAAATCAGCACACAATACATCTTTACATTTCCACGGAATATCTGGTCACTAGACATTAAGCCGAATACTTCATCTTCTAAAGGCTGCTGACCGGAAAACAAACTGTACTTCCCTTACTACTCAAGTGTCACTGCAGACGCCGCTCACGTGTGCAGGTGGGTTTGCAGTGTCGCTAGTCTAGTCTAAAGCTTCAGTTCCTACCTTGACCGACAATTCCCTCCGCACACGCTCACGCCCGGAGTCAGGTCAGAGCCTGAGCCACCAACGTGGGGCCCAACCGTGAAGAGCCAAGCGCGCCCCGGCTGCGGCCCGCCCAGACTCCCGGACCACGTGGGAGCGGTGCTCACCCCAGCTCCGGTCCGGCCTGGGCCGCTCGCGCGCCCACCGCCCGCGGAGAGCACGGCCCTTTGGCACCCCCTCTGCCGAGCCCCACGCCGGGCTCCGGAGGTGCCGGGTCCGCGTGCGCGCCACGGGCTCCCAGTCCGGCACCCCACCCCGCTCCTGTACTCCGCTCCTCTCAGCGCCCCGGGTCCCTCGGCCCTCGGTGGCACCTTCTCATTCTGCTTTCGCGGTGTCTCCACTTTTTCCATAGCCGTGTCTGAGTCCAAGTCCCGGTCACTAAGGAGTTTCCCCGGCATCGTTCAGCACGAGCAATTCAAACCGACGGGTCAGGTCCACCGCGTGGAAAGGAAGAGACAGTACTACCCCTTTAGAGGACCCACTCTCGTCACTTCCGGTAGCAAAGCCATTCCGGCGGAAGCGGAAAGCCCCAGGGAGGCCGGAGCCCACGTGGTAGCTCCACAGTATCGGCTGCTCCGGCTGGTGAGGGATGGTGAATTCCCTGCACTCCGCGCCTGGAGTAGAAGGCTCCAACTGGGAGGAACCACAAAGGTTGGCAAACGCTGGCCAGATTTCCCTTAGCCCCGGCCTGTTGAATGACTTGTTGCATTTCCGTGGTGTCTCCTCAGTGCTTTGTATTAGATTGCTGGAGTTTGCAAGATACTTTCGCGCGCAGACGCGACAAATGTGTATTCTTAATCACCTTGTGGAAAAGTCGACACTGAAAGGAGACGCCCAGACTCACAAGCCTGGATAAGACTAGAATTCGGTCGGGCTTTGGTCATCCCTTTATGCGTGCACGTAGACATCCCCTGAGCATTCACTGTGATGTCGGTGAGAAACAAGGCTAGGATCCAGTAACAGACAATACACGAGTTGTTCTCAAGAAACTATAGACTGGTGGGAGATAGACAGATATCAGTTGTTCTGAAGACACGGGGAGGCACCTGAACCGGCCTTGGAACCAGTAGGAAGGGCCCCAAACCACATGGACCTCTATAAGAAAATACAGGGCTCTAAATCTTGCATATTTGGACAATATACTAATTCTAGGAGTTGAGGGAAAGTGGTCCATTGAATGATCTATGACAATGTCGCTAAACTTCTCTGAAGAACTAGTGATGCAAAGAATTGGGAGCCGCTTCGACACAAAATCATTTTTGAAAATTAGTTGAAATCATGCGTGGCTTTGAAAACCTGCACTGCTTGTTCTGTGATTTTGCACACATTACTTAATCTGAACCTGAGTTTCTCATGCATGAAATGGGGATAACAAACTTACCTCATGGGCTGAGAAAATTAAGTAAGAAAATGAATGAAAAGGATTTAGTAGTGTGTGGCACATAAAGCAGGATAAATGAGAGCTATTAAAACTTGTAGGTGTTTAGAAAGACAACTTAAAATATAATCATTTTATGACAAAGGAAAATGCTCTTTTATTTGTGTATTTCATAAGTTTTTACTGCACATTTTTAAATGACAGTTTAAAGGAAAAATTTCATGTTTCACATAAACTATTATTTGATGTTTCACAGTCTCAGTTTTTTAACAAATAAATTTATGTACTACAGCAATGCTTTAACTTACACTCTGATATCTTTAAGCTAGGAGCCTTGATTTATGCATCTTTGTATCCTGAAGATTTCAAACAGCACCTGGTACATAGGCACATAGATTGACACTAAATGTTGATTGACCATTAAAATGGCAATGTTGGGGGTGGGGGAGAGGAAGGAACCCCTTGAAATAAATTTTAGCTATATACCCAGGCAGGAAAGCAATTCAATCATCCTGGTATTAGTGTGGGAGAAGGGGGAGCAAGCATGAATGCAAACAACCAACTGACAAAAGGCTTAACATCTGGGACTTCAGCATTGTACTTCAGACTTGGAGTACTTAAGTGAAAGCCCAGTCCCTGGTTCAAGGAACCTCTGTGATACTGCTATGATACTGCTATAAACGGTACAGCGGCATTTTTATTATCAATAAGAGGGTAAGCCCAGAACACTACTTAATGGAAAATTGTTGTCAAGGCTTACAAACTATGTAAGTTCCTTTGTAATATACCTGCACATAGGCATAAGGCCAAAATCTAAGAGGAAGCATGCAAAGGTCCTCTCTGGCTCAAAGGCAGCCAAATTACCATATTAAATCTAGTTATCAGTATAAAATTCAGTAACAAATGGAAAAGAAATGGGTCTCATATATACGTTTGGAAATGTGAAGTTCAGTTTGGATATTGATTCTGCCAACCCAGTTTCCTCTGATGTAGATAATGTCATATTTTCATAAAATTGGGAGAATTTCTATTTCAAAAAGTATGCATACATACACGAACACACACAGTGATTCAAAAATCTACACAACAGTGTTAGCTGTAATTATCTGAGTGATGTGATTATGGATGGTTTTTATTTTCTTCCATTTGCTTCTCTATTTTTTCAAAATTTCAACAATGGATGCACATTACTAATATGAAAAAATATGGTTAAAAAAACTTATTAAGCACTACCCACAAAACATATGAAACAAAAACAATGTGAGAGGAAGCTCTCAGACATTCACACCTAAATGTGAACTCATTCAAATTTCTAATGCTGAAGGGAATAAAACAGATACTTACAAATTCAAAAACTGAAGATCAGGGTAACTGGTTTCATTAAATTCAAATAGCTGTTAAGTGACCACACTAGGCACAGAGTACCCAACAGAAGGATCTGAATAGCCAAAAAGAAGCATGAAGGTGCTGGGCTGTATGAGAAAAGAGCAAAATAAGGGGCTGAATGCAGCCTAAAACTGAGAATTCTGCCCCCACCTTCTTCAGAAGGTATGGGAAGCTATTACTTCATCTTGTCAGGACCTGCCCCACTTCCCTTGCTAATAGGAAAGCCAGCCTTTAGCAAGTGGACCCCTAAAATCTACCTCCACTCTGATAGCATTTACCTACATGCTTTTCTTTTTCAATCACTTCCCTGAAACCCTTCAACAGCTGTCCAAAACAGGCCTACAGAGCCTTCCAAGATAGGACTCTTGCCTTGTTCTCATCACTGCTTTCCTCATAGCCAGCATCCCAGCAATGAGAGCTACTTACAGTTCACCATACTTAGACCTTGTTTTATTAGCTCTTCTGTGCCCTTTTCTGGCTGTCCGCTCCCACTTCCCTGCTTCTTTTAACTGACTGAATTCATGTTCAGTCATCACATCCAAAAAGCTTTCTCTAAACTCCCACCCCCATTCCTGGGCTGGGCTAGGTGCCCTTGTGCAGAGCTCTCAAATTATTGCACTTAGTCACTGCAGTGGGCCTAAGTTTATGTGTCCATCTATTTCACTAGATTCTGAGCTCCTGAGGGCAGAGACTAGGCACACCTTACTCACCTTTGTACCCCAAACATAGTGCCTAGGACATTGTAGGTCTACAACTTATTCTGACTAAATTACTAGTACTCATGCACATTTGTAGGAATGGAGCCCCTCTTTCATGCTCGGTATAAATCCAGAGCTCACACCTACTCAAATGCAGAGCTGAGACTTTCTCCCCCAGTCATAGTTACCTGGAACCCTGTTTCCCATAATCAAAATTTCTCCCTTTCTTAATCTAGCACTCATTAAGGGCTTCACTGAAATCTGGCTCTTCTTGAAAACTCCTGCTCCTGCAACTTTCCCACGCATATGTTGTTCATTCCCTCACATCCCATGTACCCTGGTATCAGTGTCTTCTTTTCCTCAAAACCATTTCTGAACTATTCCTCCTTCAGTATCATGTAAATGCTCTTGTCCCTTTGAAGATGTGTGGCAATACCACCCTATATCCTTCCTCGTTCAGGTAATTTAACCTCCACCATTCACTGATAGTTGGGCACCTGGCTTAGTCTTCCTCTCCCTCCTCAGTCCTGGAGACTTCATTGTCCATGAAAATACCCACGCTAGCTTCTCTTTTCTTTGACCATCTCAACTGAAATGACCTTTACCCCAACAGGCCTACTAACAAACACTGGACTTGTCTTGTCCCCAACTGCTCCACTCTTGAAATCTCAAATTCAGAGAGCTCTCAGTGACCTTCAGTCCCTCGCCCCTTCTACATTCTCCCTGCTATCAACCCCACCTCCACTTCAATCCCTAGGCAGTCTAGACTCCATAGACATCACTCCAGTCACTTTTGCCAAAGTCCTTCACATCTTCACCTTGTCATCCTTTCATCTCATAGAGCAAACCCCAATCCTGGATCAATCATCTCCCATCTCCATTCCTACAACAGAATATTGAGTACTACAGGACATCACTCAAGTACTCTAATTGCTGCCAGTACACATTGTCTCTAATCTCAACTGGACCCTCAAAACTGCCCGTGACCCCCAGTTTGCCTAGTAAGCTCTCCATCTTGTTCTACAGTTGATACCTCAGCATTTCTCCAATCTCCTCAAATCTCCTAGCCCGCTACTTTCCTCTTCACCTTCAGCAGACCACCATGAAAGAATACTACAGAAAAAAATAGAAAACATCAGGCAGGCAATCTGTCATCTTTTTACCTTAACAGCTGCAAATTCACCTACATGATAAACAGACTTTCTTCCTGGCAAAATGTTAGAGATGTGCTTCTACCATCTATGATTAAAATCTCCAGTGTGTGCTTAAGCTCATCCTTCTGGGTCTTCATAGGGATCTTGCTCCATCACATATTCTTTCTCTTCCTCCCTCCTTTCTGACTCCTTCCCATATTAGTTCATGCTCTAATTTCCCTCATCCTCCCCCAACACACATGTACAAAAAATTCTGTCATCTCCCGTTCTTCCTTTTATATCCAGCTTTAGCTTATTCTCCTCTACGTCACAGCCAAATTTCTGGAAGACATGTTTGCTGTCCCTAGTTCTTTCTCTCTCATTTTCTGCTGAACCCACTGCTAAATGGTTTCTACTTTCCATACTTTATTAATATGGTTGCTCCCCATGTCAGATGTCTTCTTTTTACCAAATCCAGGGGCCAACTCAGGTTCATCTTCTGGTTGCTTGGAAAGCCTCACACTCCTGGGCTTTCTGCCACCTTCTCACCTCTTTTTTTTTTTTTTTTTAAAGATTTTATTTATTTGAGAGAGAGAGAATGAGAGATAGAGAGCACGAGAGGGAAGAGGGTCAGAGGGAGATGCGGGACTCGATCCCGGGACTCCAGGATCATGACCTGAGCCGAAGGCAGTCGTTCAACCAACTGAGCCACCCAGGCGCCCCTTCTCACCTCTTCTTGATGATGATGGCATTCCCTTCTTCTGCTATGCAGTAAATACATTAGTCTGCCTCTGGGTTCCCTCCTTAGTCCTCTCTTCTTACTATACGTTCACTAGATAATCTCTTCCACTGCCTTAACTACAATTTTTTAATAATTATGTCCAAATCTTTACACCCCTAGAAC